CTCTCTCTCTCTCTCTCTCTCTCTCTCTCTCTCTCTCTCTCTCTCTCTCTCTCTCTCTCTCTCTCTCTCTCTCTCTGTGTGTCTGTCTGTCTCTCTCCTTTCTCTCTGTCTCTCTCTGTCTCTCTCTGTCTCTCTCTCTCTCTCTCTCGCGCGTGCGCAAGAAAGTGTAAGGGGGTGTCAATTATTCTAACGTTCCCCCTACCGGCCCTACCGATGCGCTTCTCCCCATTGATTTGGTGACACGTTGTCTGCCTTTCGCTGTGTACTTGTCCTGTACAATGTACATTATGGTGCAGACACTGCAGAGATAGCCATGGCCCATGGCCCATGGCCAGGTACCAAGCAGTCAGAGAGACGAGGGTTAACAGCCATCGGGCTGCTAAGGACAACACAGGCATGGAATCCTTACGACGACGGCGCACTGGTAGTGAGCGGTGCTGCTAAGGACAAAAGCTTTTGGAAATTGGAGAGAAGTCAGAGAAGGTGGTACCGTGCTCGATAAGATTAAGCCAATCACGGGAATGAGCGGGATGTGGTCAAACATGACATGACGAAGTGAAACCAGGAAGACTGAGGATGTGGAATTAAGTTCAATTAACTCCCCGCAGCTTGCTTCGTTACGTTAGCTGGGTAACCCGGGCTTTGTTCCTAGGAAGCTGCATTTTAGCCGTAAGTGCTTTGAAGATGAATCATCGGAATGAACGGGAAGAGATCATCCCATCAGCCACCCCCAACCAAATCAGCCTGTAGTGACCGCTTTTTGTTCAAGAAGGTGGTATTAATGTTTTGCAGGGTCGCGAAGAGAACATCGGTTGAGCTAACGACATACTCACTTGCGCTTTTTCTTCGTAATACTTCGTCAATCCCGCTGAAATGGTAGGTGGGTCGGCATCCCCGTTCATCCTGACCAAGGCCGACCTGGCCGAGGTTATCCTATCGAGCACCGCGGGAGAGAGAGAGAGAGAGAAAAAAAAAAGAGAGAGAGAGAGAGAGAGAGAGAGAGAGAGAGAGAGAGAGAGAGAGAGAGAGAGAGAGAGAGAGAGAAAAGGGGGGTATTCCACCAATTTCCAGGAGACGAGCGGGTCCTCAAGACGTGTACGTACTGCTGAATTCAAAGAAGAACAGTAAGAACGGTTCGGTAATCGACGGGGGTATTCCACCAATTTCCAGTAGACGAGCGGGTCTTCAGTACTACATTGGGAACCCGAGGAGCGACCCAGCTCACTGTGCCGAGCGTAGCGCAGAGCCAGTCCGAGATCTCTCTGACTGCTTCCCCTCCCAGTCCCCCAGCGGGTTATCAGTTCTACTGTGGCCTCTTCCGTCCAGCTCCGTGTCAATACACCTCCAGCGTCCTGGCTTGTAGCTACATCCCCATGTCAACTTTCAGACCCTCTCTCATGATCATCCACCCCTCCCTTCTCCATTCTCCCTTCTCTCGCGGACTCATCGCATACGCACTCTTAGGCAGCGAATAGGGGTATAGCCCGGTACCTGACATTTCCTGCCACATAGACTTTCAGAACAGTCTTGTGAGCTGTTTTATCAGTCTATAGTTGACGAGGCACACAGACTAATAAAACAGCAAACAAGCTAACAAGCTAACAAGCTAACAACATCCTAAAGGCTGGCGAGGCACACATACTGACATGATACTGTCAGAAGAACAGTCTATACTACTCATAGTTTCCAGTGGCAGCTGAGAGCCTGAGACGGCCTGCTGTCGTCTTTGCTATACTCTAGACTGTGGTACAATAGAGGTCTATCGATTGCTATACTGATGGCACACGGACGTTTGCAGTGAAGTAGAGTAACCGTCCGTGTGCCATCAGTATAACATGCGAGGGGGGACAAATCGCACATCACCTGATAGGCGGATAGCATAACATAGCATTAGCATAGCTGCTATGCTATGCTCTGCTCTGCATTGCAATGCTATGCTATGATATGCTATGCTATGCTATGCTATGTTATGCTATGCTATGCTATGCTATGCTATCACCGCAAACTATGTAGCGACCATCGCAATTGAGAGCGGTGTGAATTTGTGAAATGGCTTGTTCGCAGGATAGCATTGATTAACAATTAGTTACGGTGTGACTTGCCGGTGATGAGCAACCGGACTGGGGTCCCCTCAGAATAGAAGATGGGGCGTGTGTGTTGTGTGGGTTTAAGCAAAAGAACAACAACAAATACTAACTGTGTGACACAGCGTTGGAGATTATCGTGGGCCCCGATGGACCTGCCCCGGACAGCAGGCCGATAACTTCAATGAGATACTATAGGCTATAGGCTATGGCCTATAGCCTAGAGCCTATAGCACAGCGATTCCGTTCTATAGCAAATGGGATATAGAACAAGTTCGGAAAGCGTAGCACAGGATAGTGGGATGCTATACGGCAGACTTAGTGTGGGTGAGAGCCAATTGGGATAACTACCTGCTTCCTCAGAATACAACGTACGGTCATTATATCTGTATTTGCGGTATCTTTACGTCTAAATGCAGCTAAAATGACCGTACGTTCTATTGGGGGGAAGAAGGTAGGCGGAGTGTAAACACGATTTCTTAGCAATCCAGTTGTTATTGTAACGGCTCTCCTATTTCTTATCCGCTCATCTGTGTCTTGAAAAGCCCACAGTGGGGCCCAGCCGCCCAGGTAGGCCCCACAGTTGGCACCTTGCAGGGCCCAGTATTGGTACTAGGCAGGCGCCACGGTTGGTACCTTGCAGGGCCCACAATTGGTACCTGGCAGACGCCACGGTTGGTACCTCGCAAGGCCCGTTTCTTGCATCAGGCAGGGGGCCCACAGTTGGCACCACGCAGGGCCCACAGCTGGAACCAGTCAGGGCCCACAGTTGGCATCAGAGAGGGCCCACAGTTTGTACCTTGTTCTGTGCAGCGTTGCGGCGGAGGTATGACCCATTCCAGGGCCGTTAGTCCCGCCCCCCCCCCATACCTATCTGACGATGCCAGGTCGATAAGTCGGACGCGCTCGGACCACCGGTCAATACAATATATGTTGAGACTCAGTGGCTAAAACCTGCTCGAGCTCTGCTTGCCAATCATGGTATGGCCTGACACCCCCTACGCAGCCAATCAGGAACGAAATTACTAGGTTTACGTCAACACATACGAAGATCTCTATACGCACAAAAGCACATCAAACCCATGGCAATGATGGCATCCCTGCATGCGTGGGTGTTTGTCTGCGATTGTGTGTGTGTGTGTGTGTGTGTGTGTGTGAGAGAGAGAGAGAGAGAGAGAGAGAGAGAGAGAGAGAGAGAGAGAGAGAGAGAGAGAGAGAGAGAGAGAGAGAGAGAGAGAGAGAGAGAGAGAGAGAGAGAGAGAGAGAGAGAGAGAGAGGGTGAATTGGGACCAAGATTTTTGCGGAAAGGTTATCTGGTCGTAGCGCAGTAGCTTTTCACACATCCGGCTGTCACGATCCATGCAATGGACTTGATCGGCTGATGTGACGGTCTGGTTTTCTCTTTTTTCCCTTTTCTTTTTTACTGTTTGTGTTTCTGTTGTATACACCAGTGTTTGATCAGAAATTGGAGCAATCTGATTGATTCGTCTATTGATGGTCGTGAATGGATTGATCATTGATGGGTTGGTAAACGAGTTCCACAAGTTCCACAAGTTCCATAGCCTGAGCTCCACAAGTTCCATAGCCTGCACTTGACTGAAGCGGGTACACACAGCAAGGGCCCCACCCCACTGACCTGCAGGCTGCAGACGAAGGGTCTTCCTTAAATAAGCGAAGTCCAATCATCCTCTTTACCTGCATGAGGGGGTGAGTAGCCGACCTCCCCCTGAGGTTAAATCCTCCTTAGATGTCCGTAAGAGTCGGTAAGACACACTGACCTGAGGAGGGAGGGGATCAAGAGCAGGGACTTTCAGGGAGAACCCGGAGAAGGACAAGCCTGCAATTTGGTAAAATCTTATGAGGGCAGAAGGCATTACTTCCGCATATTAAGTGCATCACTGTGCATGGAGTCCGAAAAAGGCTAAACAACAGAAATAAAACAAAAATGGGAAGTAGGGCAACTGTTGCACTGCGTTTCTTTTCTTTTTTTTTTTTTAATTTTAATATTGCACTGCGTTTGGCCGGTAGTCAAAGTGGCCAAGTGAAAAAAAAAAAAAAAAAAAAGTGGCCAAGTCACCAAGTGGCAACGAAAAATCATTTTAGAAATGAGTAGGCACCATGTACTACATCCTTTTTTTTTTTTTTTTTTTTTTTTTTTTTTTTTGTTGTAATTCAAGATTCCTCAGATCCCACTGCCTTCTTCCCCGAATACAACGTACGCGTAGTTTGTAATAACCCGGTCGCATATTCAGTACTATCCCACTTACTTTGCTCTCCTATGCTCTATCCTGCGTACAATGTCGCATTACACTATAGAGTTGTATAGACTCACTTTGTCCATCTTGGTTCCATAGATAGTTTACTATAGATAGTTTCTACAACGCTACGACCGTAGCGTCGTTGAAACCATGCCCATGCAGGGTAGTATGAACTCTCTCTCTCTCTCTCTCTCTCTCTCTCTCTCTCTCTCTCTCTCTCTCTCTCTCTCTCTCTCTCTCTCTCTCTCTCTCTCTC